GGTTCTCTTTTGGTGACTACTGGATGAACTGGGTCCTCCAGAGTTCAGGAAGGGGTTGGAGCAGGTTGATGAAATTAGAAACATAATTATACAACATACTGTGTAGAGTCAGTAAAGGCAGGCTCGCCTTCTCAAGAGATGACTTCAAAAGCAGCGTCTACCTGCAAATGAACAACTTAAGAGTCAAAAACACCGCCATTTGTTACTGTACTGGAGACAGAGTGATGGACCTTCAGTGTGAACCCTGACACAAACCTTCCTGCAGGAGTGCACAGAACCAGGAAGAGATAGAGTGAGTGTGCACTTGGAGGACAGGTGCAGACATAACTGAGCTTTGGTTTCTGTGATCTTATCTGTCTCTCTATCTAATGATTTCCCAGACTGTTTTCTGCACTTGTGGTCTGTAGATACCTCTGACATGTGTGGAAAGAAGAGTTCTGTTTTGTTTTGATTTATAAACACATATACCACAATTTAATTTGAACTGAGTGAAGAAAAGCAACTCTGATTGCAGAAAGCACTCTACACAGTTCACCAGGGTCAAATGTTTAGCAGTATTTGGTGGTGAGCCTTCTTCATCATAATCTACAGGGCAAAGCCTCAGTGGTATTCTGATTAGGACAGTGTTTGAGATGAGGGAAAGCAAGAGGGAGTTAAGGTCACACTTAGTGACCCAAATGCCCTAAAATGTCTACATTCTTTCTGCTTTACCTGAGAACTGTGCATATCAGGTACAGATCTGAGCCATTTGTATATCTACCTGATTCAGATATTTACAAATTTCACCATCATAACTCCCATTACATTTTGTTCATCTAGAACAACTTCTGAGCATTGTTCTAAACACTGATGTGAGCCATTTACCTTAAACTCAGCTGAGGCCCAGGCTTTAGATTCTGTCGAGAATTGGGGAAGGTTTTTGTGAAATTTTCAGTCTCAATTTACCCAACTGCTTCTCCTTTCTCTTTTCATGGAGTCTTACAAACTGTAATATGACATGGTTAATCTTGGAATTAGCTCTTCTCTCCTCTCCTCTCTTCACGCACGTGTCTCTCCCACAGGCCTGCACACTCTCTATCCCTGTATTTCCAAAAAACTCTTATAAGCAGATTCTGTCGTGTTTCGTGACGTTTCCTTGCAGGGTAAGAACACAATGCAGCTAAATAACTAACATTTTGGTGCCGTGACTAACATTTTGGTGCCGAAACCGAGTGGGCGCTCCCGGGCGCTTTGCGCCCGGCAGCCCGCAAACTGGGGAATCTGCTCCGTACAAGACAGACCGCTCTCCATTCGCCTGAATCGCATCCAAATTGCATCCAACACCGCTTTCTTGGATTGGTGAGTTCCCCCATTTTTTGGCCAGCGTAAACGGTTTCCTTAACCTGTGAGACCGACCGTTGATTGTCCGGCGCCTCACACGTATTCTTGAGACCGGAAGAACCCCCGACCATGGTCTTCATTGGCTATGGTCGGCCCCTATCGCTGGCCTAACTTTTCTAGCCGTCTCCCACGTCTGCAGCCTGAGATATTTTTCGTGTTGGGGCCACCGTCGGGGTGCACCCTGGAGAGCCACGTGAGGTCGACAGGTTCATTCTCCCGACGGGGAGACAAATGCTGTCCGGATTCTCGGAGATTCCACTCCTTCACTGTGGAGGGGGCCCCTGCTTCTGTGGCTGACGAGTCAAGGAGCAGCCTGCGCCCGGTATCCGCCCTTGGCCTTGGGGACGCCTGGGGCCTTGGCTCCGGATCATGTTTATTTTTTATTTTTCTGCCTCTCCGCTGCAGACATGGGAAACACGGCTTCCAACCCTGTTAGTCCTTCCTCTCCGTTAGGCTGTCTTGTTGAAGCTTTAAGCTAACTTGTTTATGTTCAAAAAAAGTGGCCAAAGTATGCTTTAAAAAATAACAAAGGGCCACTGAGCAGCTCCTTAGATCTTGGTATTTCACGGGAGCTATCCAATCACTGTCATCGTTCAGGCAAATGGAAAGAGTTACCCTATGTGATAGCATTTTTCTTTCTCAGTGCTAAACCGTCTCTTCTAGATTCCTTCTCTCCTGCTCATATGCTCCTAGCTATACATAAACCAGAGGATTCTCTGACTCCGAAATCTCTGACTCTAGATCTTGCTAAGGAACCAATAATTAAAGTTCATGTTCCATTCTCTCTAGCAGAACTCTCTCAGATAAAAAGTAAGCTGGGTTCTTATACGTCTAATTCTGCTTCCTTTATTAAACAGTTTCAATATATAACTCAATCTTATAGTCTTACCTTTCATGACTTTCTGAGGAGCTCAGGTGGGTATGGGAGCAGGCTAGGATTCACGCAGACGAAATTCATCAAACTAACCTTTTACACCCCCCAGGAGCCGAGGCGGTTCCTGACCGGGAGCCACACTGGGACTACAACACCCAGAGTGGCTGTCTAGCCAGAGATAGGTTTATTACCTGTCTCCTGACAGGCCTCCGTAAGGCTGCCCTAAAACCAGTAAATAATTCAGGATAAGGACGAATCCGTCTCTTGTTCCCCAGACCTTCCCGACTAAAACTTAAGCATCTGGAGAGCAAGGCTCCTGACCCCACAGGCAAAAGAGTCACCTGTGGCATTTAAGGTGTGCCAGGGAAGAGATAAAAGCCCGAAAACAAAATTGCCAAGTGCTGGCACTCGCTGACTTCCAAAAGCTGTTGAGTCCCTGTTTTAAATGAGGAAAAGGCCACGGGCTACCGAATGCCCTGCCAGGCCATCAACAGCCTTGTTAAAAGTGCCACCTAGAAAAACAGAGTCAGCTGACTGCCCCCAGGCACCAAGATGCATGGGTACATCAAGCTAAGACCTCCAACAGACCTAGGCTTGGCTACAGACATGACAGGGAACCCAGAACGCAGCAGGGAAGTGATTCGTTTCTTTCCTTCTGGACACCAGAGCCATTGACTCAGTCCTGGGAGTTTTGGGATGCCACCTCTCCTTTGTTGTCGGGTACAGGGGACAGCCTTTTCTACCTCAGCAGACACCGCCATTTAATTGTATTTTCAGAGGCATCCCTCTCACACATACATTCTTAGTGGTGCCAAGCTGCCCTGTGCATTTAATGGAGAGGGATCTCCTAGCTAAGGTAGGAGCGTCCATTTCTTTTCACTCCACACATTTGCCTCCTCCCAGACA